TGTGGCCTCCCTGAGGAGCCGTAGGCAAGCCAGAATCTTTGAGCTTCAGTTTCCATCTGCAGTGTGAACGTTCATAACACAGAGAATGCCGAAGTGTCAACCAGTCCTCCTGCCAACTAATAAGGAATCTCCCCAGCAGCCTGAGCGTCACTCTATCCAGAAGGCTTGCTAGTAGCACCATGGCAGGCAGTGGGGCCAGCCCTATCATAAGGCAAAGTGAGGTGGCTGGCTTAGGTAGCAAATGCTGAAAGTTTGAATGCATCAGATACAGCTCCCTTGGCCATTCCTCCTGAGTACCCTTGCCAGCTGCTTTTCCTCTGTTGGAGGACAGAGATACGGCCTGCCATGCATCCCTTCATGTGAGGTGGTGGATGCTGTATAGATTTTTGCCCAGTATTGATGTAGAGTTCAGCTGCCAATCTGGTTGGCTTCTGTAGGTGGAAGTGGGTGGGTGGAAGTGTTGCAGTTGTACTGCAGGCTGGTGAGTTTGAGATTTAGCTAGAGAGGGAGAACTTGCATGCTTCCTAGGCTGCTGTGCTAGACTTCCTTCAAGTGCTAGACTGATACTCTCAAGGTTGCTGGCCTCACTTCCTACTTCTTCATCCTTACCTTGAAAGAGGAGACATCTCTGTATGTCCCTCCCACAGACATGGAAGAGCAAGCACGACTCTTTGCCTCTTCACCTTTTTTAGATAGGATCTTCCCTATCAAACATGTTTCCTTTAATAAACTTAGTTTAATAAACTTAGATTTCTTATTTTTCTGACGTCTCTATGAGATTGCATCCAAGGGTAAAAGTGTGCTCTTCCAAGCAGGGATTCAGAGTTAAGTTCAAGATCCACTGATGCATTTAATCACCACAATATATATTATTATCTATTATATACAGAGGGTGGGCTTGTTTTTTATGTGGCAAAACATTTCAGCTTCTGCCTTTATCTGATGCTCTGACAAAAATGAAATGATGTTGCTTCCAAAGTGGCAATTGGAAATTTTGGGTTGGATTGCTCAGAATGACTTCAGTCGCTGAAGCCAAGCAGTGTTAGTACTCTCCTCCAGGTTGAAGCATTGCGGTATTAGTGTGTCCAGGATGTATGTCCAGAAGTTCACCCTCTTTGAGAGCTAGTGTGGTGTAGTGGTTAAGAGCGGTGGACTCGTAATCTGGTGAACTGGGTTCGATTCCCCGCTCCTCCACATGCAGCTGCTTGGTGACCTTGGGCTAGTCACACTTCTCTGAAGTCTCTCAGCCTCACTCACCTCACAGAGTGTTTGTTGTGGGGGAGGAAGGGAAAAGGAGATTGTTAGCCATTTTGAGACTCCCTAGGGTAGTGATAAAGCGGGATATCAAATCCAAACTTCTTCTTCTTCTTCTTTGTTATCATTCTTGGATCCATAGCAATCATTGATAAGTCCGACAAGCTGTGGCTCTCAAAGCTGAAATATTTGTACCAACTGGTTGCTCCGTGTGTATGTGTTCAGACACATACTACATGCATATACATGCTTTTATTCCTTTGTGTGTTTCTACCCATGATGCCCGTACTCTAGGTTTCAACACTGCTTATTGCCTTTAGCAAATATAAGAGCATGCTCAAGATGATTTTATGGAATTTAAATTGCCTTCCCAGCTGCAGTCTTGTCCACACACACACACACACACACACACACACACACACAACTGCCTCCAGCTGAAAACACTCCACTCCAATAGAGCTACAACTTGCTTCCCCTCTTTTTTGAAACTGCTGTGGTCTTAGTGCAGCTTTCCATGATTTTCACACAAGTTATGCAAGTGTGAGGAATGTCAGAACTAAATATATACAGATGCTTTACATGGTTCCTATGAATTACCCGTCTAGGAGTGGTGAGCTTTCTTAAGAGGTGCTTATCTTTATTGATTCACAGAGAAGTCTGTTTTCTCTAAGATGCTTTCGGGACTGCTGAAAGAAATAGAGCCCCCCCCCCCAAGCCCATTCCATGCAAGAAAAGAAAATAAGATGGGTGATCATTAGCCAGTTTTTATGTTATTTACCGAGATAAGGTTTATAGCTCTGCAAGAAGGGGAAAAGGTGGGGGGGAATCTCTAGCACTCCTAAGACAGCATTTTAACACAGAAAGGTAGATGCCAACATACTATGATACAACAGAGATTCTGCCACTGTTTTACCATACAGTAGAATTGATGACAATAGGACATTTGTGGTTTTCTGTTGGTAGGTACTTTCACATGACATGACAGTGGCTTAAGATCACACAATGTTTTGCAGTGGCTGGAAGAGGCAGTGGGATGAGCCTGCAACTGCTTCCTCCAGAGCATGTAAGATGCTCTCGAAGGGGGCCCATCTCCTCCTATTCCCTGCTTTTACTATCATCCATTCACTTTCCTCTCAGATGTCTACATCCCAGAGAGAGAGAGAGAGAGAGAGAGCGCGAGCGCACAAGGCATTTGGAAGTTGCTGAAACTTAGCCTGCACCCAGTTGAGGCTCATTTACTTGAGGGGGGGGAGTGAACAGTTGCAACAGCAAGATGTGGAGACTCCATGGTGTGGCAGTAGCCCCCCAATGATATCAATTTCACACATTTATACACAAACACACATAATTTCTGAAGGGTATGTGGTAGGGACATCCCTCATATCTTCTTTCTTTCTTTCTTTTTCTTTCTTTCTTTCTTTCTTTCTTTCTTTCCTTTCTCTCTCTCTCTCTCTCTCTCTCACACACACACACACACACACACACACACACACGCTTTGGCATTTGAGAAGTTTCCATCCCAGTTAGCCACTGCACGGTCTTCATGGTCCATTTCAGACTAATTGTTTGCTTCCTTCCACCATAGACATAGTAACTCTTGGCTGTCAAGTCAATGCAGATGTCAAGATGCTGAACCTGGGCTAGAGAACTGGATTCAAATTTAACCTCAGATACAATGATCCCTGGATAAATTTGGGGTGGCAGCTCCCTTAATCTACTCTGCCATATACTCTGTCCAGTCCCAACAATCTGAGACATAAGTGTCCCCAGCCCATTGAAATGAATATATGTAATGTCATCTCAGAGTCTCTTCTATAATGTTCTTCAAGCACTCAAGAAAGACAAGTTGCAATGTGCCCATTATATTCACAAGTAAAATAACAATGATAACAACAGAGGTCTGTGGTGGGGATATAGTTGAGGGAAACTCATGTTTGCTACATTGACATATTTTATGTGCGGGTGGGATACAAACTAATAGCAATAACAAGAAAGCAATATATTAAAATGGGCATATTTTATTCCATTCCTGCTTCTACCACGACCAGTTTTCCTCAGGCAAAAGTGGGGAAAGAGATTCCAGCATGAAAATATTGCACAGATCAAGTGGGAATTGTCTGGATCAATATAAACCCCACTGATGTCATGAGCAATCTGATGAGATATCAGTGTCCCCAACCCAGGGAAATCAATACCTGTGATGTTGTCTCAGACTTTCTCCTGCAACGTTCTTCAGTCACTCAAGAAAGACAAATTAGAATGTGCACCATTAAAACAACTACTACTACCACTTCTTCTTCTGATGTTGGGAAATACAAACTTTCCCTTTGCGCTCTTGCCAACACAGCTGCTAGGACAAAAGTAAATGGATGGGGTGAGATCACTACATCCTGATCTCATTCTGAATATAATTACTTGGAACATTAAAGACAAGTGATAAGATGGGAACTGAGCACTGAACCTAAGAATGGCTGTTGCTTTTATCCCAGCAAGAAAAATATGCACCTTCATAACAAGGGTTTTGTTTTGCTGGATTCTTGCTTCACTTGGACTGAATGCAAGTGTGTGCAATTCTCAGATGTTGAATTGTCAGGTGGATAGGGGTGTGATTAATATTTTGTGGTTCCATTCATGGTGTGAAGGATTTCCATACACACTGGAACGCAGACTGTAAAAGAACATGTCCAATTCCATTTTGAAAGCTCCGTGCAAATATTCTTGTGCACAAGTATATCTGTGCTAATGTGATAGCAAATTTATTTTATTAATTTGTATTTATATACTGTCTTTCAGCTGTGCTATTTCCCAAAAAGTTTTACAAAAAAGAAAAAAGGTGTAGTAGTCATTTTTCAAATGAAAAAGAAAATGCTCATTTAAACAATGAGTGGCAGCTTTCTTAAATTCAGTTTTCTCTTCTATTATACTGTGTTCAAAGACCTAAGAAGCCACTCTGCTGAAGTCTTGCTAACAAGCAAGTTAGCTCATTTAATTGATGAACCAGCTGCAAGCCAGTTGTTTATCAACAAAAAGTCTTTAATGAATGTACAGCTTTGATAAACACTAAGCTAGGCTAATGAATAAATTAGTAATAAACAATGCAATCCCATACTGTACATGTCTACTTAGAAGTAAGTCCTGTTGAGTTTAGCCTTGTTTCCATGCAAATGCGTATGTGCTTGTAGCCCAAGCAATTTATTTCCTTTCTTACAAATTTATTTTCATATCTTTACCCAACAAGTCTCACAGTGCTTTATAGGGCTTACTCCCAGGTAGGTGGGTACAGAACTGCAACCAAGGTATAAAGGTAAAGGGACCCCTGACCCTTAGGTTCAGTCGTGGCCGACTCTGGGGTTGCGGCGCTCATCTCGCTTTATTGGCTGAGGGAGCCGGCGTACAGCTTCCGGGTCATGTGGCCAGCATGACTAAGCCGCTTCTGGTGAGCCAGAGCAGCGCACAGAAACGCCGTTTACCTTCCCGCCGGAGTGGTACCTATTTATCAACTTGCACTTTGACATGCTTTTAAACTGCTAGGTTGGCAGGAGCAGGGACCGAGCAACGGGAGCTCACCCCGTCGCGGGGATCCGAACTGCCGACCTTTTGATCGGCAAGTCCTAGGCTCTGTGGTTTAACCCACAGCGCCACCCGCGTCCCTTGCAACCAAAGTATATGCATGTACAAATTACTGTAATTTCTGTAATGTAAATACTGTAGTAAATAAACCATCTGCATCATAACTCAGTGCAGTGTTATTTTGTCTTATCCATCTAGTATTGTTAATTTGTATATGCATATACTTTGGTTGCAAATTAACAATACTAGATGGATAAGACAAAATAACAGTGCACTGAGATATGATGCAGATGGTTTATTTACTACAGTATTTACATTAAAGTAATCTAACCTAGAGGTTACCAGAATATAGACAATATGTTAGGCTTTCCCTCTCCAGATGAGACATAGCTGGGCCACCATCCAAAGCCAAAATATTAATGTATTAGAACATGCATATTAATACTAACTGCATAGAGATTTTACATATTATTTATATATGTGGTATTATTTTAAAATGAATGTCCAAATAGGCTTCAAAATTAACCTTAGTTGCTATATTTTTTCAAGTTTTAAAATTAATTACATGCATTGGTTTCTTTTTCTTGATAAACTTATGATTTGACCTGAATTCACCAAAATGCCATTTACAAGTTAATGGTTAAACTTGCTATTTGTCATGCCATTAATACTAGACAAGCAGCACAGTTCTTACAACTGCTGAATGGGAAGGTACATAAAGACACAGTAAGCAGTTCAAGACCTTATTAAAACATGTCTATCAAATGAAGAGGTACAAATAAGGTGTCTGATTCATCAAAAAGATAACTCCTGCAGACAGCACACACAACTCCCTAGAGTATCTTGCAATATAGCTTTAAAAAAATGAAAATTTTCCCTACACAGACACAAACACTTTAAAATGGGGGTGGATTCAGCAAAGTGAGCATTTCAGTGAAAAGCTCCAAATAAATGATGAATTCTGCATAAATCTAATCTCTAAAGACTGGCGCAGACGTGCAGCACCAGACCTGAGTCTGAGAATCTGGGTCTTCTTGTCTGCAAATCAGTGTGTGGGGGGTGGATTATTTGTAGCAGAGTAATTGTAGGAGTGGGATTTCCCAAATCTCCCCCCCCCCCCGGCTCCAGTTTACACAACCATATAGTATGATGTTTTGTTCGGTTGGATTGTACAATTTCAAACTTAGATCTGAATGACAGTCCTCTTGTTCTGTCGATTCCGTCCCACGGGGGTGAAATTTGATTCAGTTTGCATTTAAAGGGGAACTTATTTAATTAGCACTTCCTAAAACAATATGTGAACCAAAACACAGCTCCCCTCAAAATGTGCACCGCTTTGGATTTTGCAGTGCCGTTTCCCCAGCAAATTAATGTGTTACAAAAAAATGTATTTGCTAGAGTTTTGTGCATTAGAATGTATTTCCAATGACAATAACTCACATAGCCCTTGTTGTAAAACAACAGAACTGGTTGCCACTTTGTTTCCAGGCCCAAGACAAGGTGCTCACTGTAGTGCTTAGAGACTTAAATGAAACGGCTTGCAAAAATGTGTGCGTTAGGCAAAATTGCATTAAAATGCGTAGAATAGGAGAAACTCCTACTGAAATACTAATGAGCTTTCCTGAGATTTTTTTTTATAAAACATAAATCGGAAACTGATGTAGAAAAGTGGCAAACTGAACTTAAGATCTGAAAAATGAGAAACCAAAAAGAACCCAGAATTAACACATTTGCCCATCCCTAGGTCAGACTTTTGAATTATGGTGCTGGAGGAGACTCTTGAGAGTCCCATGGACTGCAAGAAGATCAAACCTATCCATTCCTAAGGAAATCAGCCCTGAGTGCTCACTGGAAGGACAGATCCTGAAGCTGAGGCTCCAATACTTTGGCCACCTCATGAGAAGAGAAGACTCCCTGGAAAAGACCCTGATGTTGGGAAAGATGGAGGGCACAAGGAGAAGGGGATAACAGAGGACGAGGTGGTTGGATAGTGTTCTTGAAGCTACCAGCATGAGTTTGACCAAACGGTGGGAGGCAGTGGAAGACAGAAGTGCCTGGTGTGCTCTGGTCCATGGGGTCACGAAGAGTCGGACACGACTAAATGACTAAACAACAACAAGGTCAGACTACCTTTCTTCATGACATACTCATTTTCTGCGTGCAGTTTTTCTGAAAGGAAGGATTCAAATGCTGAGTTCCCTCAGTTCCATCTTCAACCTGAAGTGGTACAATACAGGTTTCAGCTTTGTTGTGTGATTATGCTTCTCCTACACACTGTTCCCAAGACAAAAATGAATAGTAGATGGGATTGTTCTGCTTTTGTCAAAGTAAGAGGTTAAAAACACATTGTAGCTGTAACATAGATGTCAACCAGAGAGGGAATGATCTCCTTGTGGAATGATCTCCCAATGGAAATGAGGCAGCTTCTAACCATGGGGCGTTTCCATTGACAATTGAAAATATACCTGTTTGCCCTGGCATTTGGACCACTGTGGTTGATATATTGGTTGACGAGAGGTCCAAAGGGTGGCAGCATGAGAAGAGGCCTTTTCCTGCAGTGGCTCCCCATTTGTGGAATACTCTCCCCAGGGAGACTCACCTGGCACCTTCATTACAGACAAAAATGTTTATCTTCAACTAGGCCTTTGGCTAATTAACAATCTATGGCCTTTTAAATGTGTTTGTGGGAATTTCATGGAATTCCCTTTCCAGTGGTGTATCTGGCACCTTCATGTTATAGCTTTCATCATATGCTGAAGGTGCAGCTCTTTATCCTGGCATTTGACTCCTGAGCTATATTTAAGGGCATCCCTCAATTGTTATGATTGCAACTTGTTTTAACTGCTTTTAATAATATATTTGTACACTATTATAATAACTCATCCTACAGTGTTATGATGAAATAGAAGCTTGTATTCAATGGTGTGGTAAATAGGCATCTTGTCCTGCTCCTGTGCACTCCCTAAATCTGTTCTAGGGGTCCCCCAAACTCTTGAAGCAGATTTGGGGAGGGCATGGGGTATGCACAGTGGAGGACAGGGGAAGGAAGTCCATCGTGGAAGTAGAAATCCATGTGCTACTGGGATGAGGGAGTTTGATTAACCCATAATCATTAATAATAGCAATAATAATAGATACTTTGGTCTTGTTATGTAAAGCACTTACACAATATATTGTGGTGCCTGTGTAACATGAGTGAGAATTCTTGTGCCTGTGCAAAAAAATTAAGTATGAGGCCTAACGTATTTTGTATGAGATTTAGAGGAAATTTCTGAGGGCTGTGGCAGCTGTTCTCCTCTTAGGCACTTTAGTGAGGTGGAGTGTCTAATAGTATTGCTGTGAAGGGGAAGGAGTTGGGTAAGAAGGCGAGGATTTCCACGACCCCCTTGTCTCCCCTCTCCATACTGAAGCACTGGATAAAAACAGGATTTTGAGACTCTGGACTGAGAATTCCAAACTGATAATCTGGCAATATTGTTCTCCATTGCAAAACAAACGGCAAGCATCTCTTGGGGGAAACCTTTGCTGTTCCGCACGGTAAGCCCTTATTGAAAGCTTTCTTTACAGTTTAGCCTCTCTGGCTGATGTGATGAAATTGCCTTCATTGTAGTGCAGATGTTCAGGAAACCCGGCTGCAAGATGGTTCCTCCACAGTGAGATCAAATGAGCTCAGCCCTGTATCTGCATTAAACATTTTGTCATGCTAATGTCTTGTTTTAAAAACGCTTTGCCGGTGATGAAAACAGGAGGCACCGTGTACAACCCAAAGAAGATAAAATAAAATAATAACCCTGCTTCAGCTCCATGGAACTTCAGGCCATCTAAAGAAAACTAGGAAGGCCATTCATAGGAAGTGGTCAGGACTACCCTGGGCAGAAATAACCCTCACTGCTAGGTTTCCACTATGTCAGTTCCAGGGAAAGTGAAGTAGATTAATAGGAATGGACCTGCCACTGCATTTATTATCTTCTTCCCAGTCATAATACATAGTCTTCAAGAAGGCCTGAGTATGAAGTATGACTAGCCCAAGACATATGCTGTGTGCACCAAAAGTTATGCCCCAGAATCCAGAACATTTCAGAGAGGATGCTGGGACACAACTTCATTGGACCTGCCCAATATATGTCTGCCCCTTGAATTGTTTGTGCACGCAGGCCGAACTCTGGTCTGGAGACCCACCCACAAACAGCCAACACTTGCTCACAGAGTGAAAGTCATTTGGTCTAAGTATCATGGCACGTAAAGGTAAAGGGACCCCAGACCATTAGGTCCAGTCGTGACCGACTCTGGGGTTGCGGCGCTCATCTCGCTTTATTGGCCAAGGGAGCCGGCGTGCAGCTTCCGGGTCATGTGGCCAGCATGACTAAGCCGCTTCTGGCGAACCAGAGCAGCGCACGGAAACGCCGTTTACCTTCCCGCTGGAGCGGTACCTATTTATCTACTTGCACCTTGACGTACTTTCGAACTGCTAAGTTGGCAGGAGCAGGGACCGAGCAAAGGGAGCTCACCCCGTCGCGGGGATTTGAACCGGCGACCTTCTGGTCAGCAAGTCCTAGGCACTGTGGTTTAACCCACAGCGCCACCCGCGTCCATCATGGCACGTACCTCACTTCAAAAATGGTTGCAGCATCCAAAATTTATGTGGTGTGAACCTGTGCAAAGGGGTGTATTGCCAAAGTTATTGAAGAAGCCATGTTGATAAAGTAGAATGGGGCAAGTGTGTCTGCAATGGAGTCGGTAGGTAGCCATGTTGGTCTGACGCAGTGTGTGTGTGTGTGTGTATGGGGGGAGAGAGAAAGAAAGAGAGAGAGTCCAGTAGCACCTCAGAGACCAACTAAGTTTGTTCTTGTTATAAGCTTTCGTGTGCATACATCTGAAGAAGTGTGCATGCACACAAAAGCTTATACCAAGAACAAACTTAGTTGGTCTCTAAAGTGCTACATTTTTTAAAATTTTTTATACATATTTAGACTGAAAAGTTGGCAAGCTTTAGATTCTGTCAGGCAGTATTCCATGAGCCGCTGCATTCTAGTCAGGCTCTTCCTTTAACCTACCAAGTTCCATAGATGATGAATACCATATTCATCCATGGTCCACCGAGACCAACAAAGTTCTGCTTTAACATTGCCTGCCGGGGCTCCAAACCCTAGCTTTTCCTAAAGTGCCAATACTTTTGAAATCAAAAGCTGGCGGCTTCAGCTGGTGGCGGGTGACACAAGGGCCTGTGGCATTTGCCTGCAGTATTTGGTGATTCTCTGGTTTGCAA